CCACGCATCAGACATCACTATTTTTGGCCTGAGGTGGTTGAAATTTTTAGTTATTATATACGGTTGTTTTAAATATGGATATTGTTCACACAACTATATAAAAAATCAGTCCGGGTCATTTTTTTTTATTTTTATTGGCCTCCGCTTTACAGCATTTTTAGCCACCTACATTATTCATATTATGTTTCATCATATTCTATACAATTCTTACATATATATATCTTATACATTCATTCATCATATATATACTATCTCTTCTTATATTCTAATATTCCATTCAATTTTCTTTCTTCAATTCCATTCAATTTTCATTCTTCTTGTTTCTCAGTACGCTCTTCTCATCTTCTAAGCTAAACTTCTAATACATTTTTTTCTTATATTCTACAAATTAATAATCCTTAATCTACTTTAATATGTTTATATTTTTAATTCTGGTCGTTATTATTCGTTTTATTATTATTATCATTTTTTTTTCAAAGTAAATTAAATGTAATTAAGCTGCTAAACCGCTGTTATATATTTTTTGGGCAATGTAAATGATACTGATTACTTGAGCCTAATTTCAGTTCTTAGAAAAACCGGTTTTAATGATTGTAACAACATTTATGATAATTGTCTTTCAATCGCATAGGCAAAAATAAACAAAATGATTACATATTCAGAAGTATACTAATCTTGTCTAACAAGGAAGCAACACATCACAATAAAAATCAAATCTAGAGTTAAGGAATTTCAATGGCTCTCCGGACATTATTCAAAATTAGTACTCAAAAACAAAATCTTGGTTTATAAAACGATAATATTCTCTATCACACCGAATAGAGCTTTTGGGTCGCTCTAGCAAATCTAATGTGGCATTGGTACAACGGACCCAACCAAAATTACTATGAATGATGGCATCAGGTGCAATCTGGTAGGTGAGCAATAAAACTCTTCATGATGATATGAATGTGCTATACTATATATTGAAAGCTTTATACAAACAAGATTCAATTAGAAAATTAGAAAATCGCCTGAAATCACTCGTTGCTCAGCTTCTCTTTACACCAGAATTAAGAAGATTTACACAATTATGGTCTATTAATTTGATCCAATAGATTGTATCTAATAGTATTCACTCACTCATCAATGTAAATCAAAACAACTCATAGGATATAATTAATGTTTTGATTGTTATTGATAAAAAAGATACTGATGCTTTAATTTTGATAATTAAGCCAATGTTATAATGACAATGATTAAAAGATATTTATAGGAGCACTTACATATACACAGATAGGTGCAAAATTTTTCCAACAGTGCAATAGATTGTTACTTGTTTAAGAAAAAAGTAGAATAGCAATTTTCGTATCTATAATATTTTATATATTAGGTTGTCAAATATCTCCCTTCCGCTTTTTTGCTCTTGGTTCATAATACAAAAAGGCGGAAGGGAGATATTTGACAACCTTGCACAACAAATATAAGACAATTGTTTTATGTTCATACAACATTACATTGGATCACATGAAAAACTCAATTTGTTTTCTTAATTATTGCCAATCGATTTGCTGTACTTCTCACAAGATTTTTGCAATAGATTGGTGGAATTTTCTGTCACCGTTTATGAACGTATTCCCATAGAACTTTAGTGATGGTGGTTGTGAACATTATGATGCATCAGTAATGTATAAATATTTATAATTGATTAACAAATTAAAATTTTAAAGCAGCACTAAAATGATTGAAAATAGTAAAATAAAAAAATAAAAAATCCACTTTAGTTTAATGTAGTGTAGTTCAAATACATTTAAAGTAAAGTATGGAATTTTTCAACGATACTATTTCAAAGTAGAAGACAACACATATATAACCATTGATTACATTAATTCTTGCGATAAAAAGTAAAGTAAAGTGTAGAATTTTATATGATGCTATATTAAAGTATGAGGCAGAAGATGTATAATCAGCTATTAGAAGGCGAAGGAAAATGTATCAATATTTTTTTTCTTTGTTGGTTTTGAACTTATTTATTTAGATTATGATATATGAATATAATTTTTAGATATACTCTATTCAATTATTTTATAATATGTATTGTTACTTTTAAATTAGATTCAACGGTTTTTTCATATAACCTCTCTAAATACTTACACGTGAAGTAAAAAAAAAACAACTAAACTTTTACACTTCCAAAGGTGTAAAAAATAAGAAATTAGTAAATAAAAAGTAAATTGCTTCTTTACGATTAAACAAGAGATAAATTAAATTATTGGTAATTGTGGTTCTGCTGAAAAATATTTATATTAATATTTTAATTTTTAATTTTAATTAATACCACATCAAGATTGTATACAGTGATGTTTGTAATAAAATGTGTGTAATGTAGCTGTAATTTCATAAAATCACTTTAAAAATGAAAAGACATATTGGTTTGCCACTTAGTTGTCTCTTTTTATCCAGCCTATGAAGTAAAAAGGTACAAGTGAAAATTTTAGAAAAACTATGGCATCGTGCCTTAAGGCAAATTGCTGGAAGGAAGACTATTAAATGTTTTCAAATAGATCATTAAAAATACTGTAACTAATATATGTTTACAAAAAAGTAAATAAGCAAAACTGACTCAATCGAACTTAAAATGAAGGTCATTGTCCAATATTTATAAGAATTATATAAACTGAATTGCAAAGTTAAAGTTAATGATTTAAAGTATATAAGTGATGTTTAGAACTGTAGCTACAATCAGAATTAAAATCTGAATAATTTTTTGATATCAAGTTTTTTTTTTGAAAATTAAGAAAAAAATTAAATAAAAAAAATCTTTCTTCAAAAGCAATCGTTTCGTCAACACAAGCAGAAAGTTTTTTAAATTATTCAAATCGGGTGCTTAGTTCCCTCAAAAACTTGCACACTTGCATTGCACATTTAGCTCTCTAACACCGAAACTGCTGAACCTGCCTTTGCCAAAATCTAATCATCACTTCTCCCCATCATTACAAATCAAATATTTTTTGGTTCATTCAAATCGGCTGATTCTTTCTCCTAAAAATTGACATTTTTAGCGCTTTTTGCTCCATATCTCCGAAGCCGCTGGACTTTGTCAAAAACTAATCATCACGTCTCCTCATCAATGGGAACCGAATGTTTTTTGAACCATTCAAATCGAATAATTCGTACAAAAAATTGTACGGATTATTCGACACATACACTCGCACACATACATACACATACATTTTTTCTGAGGTATGCCAAAATGTTCAAAAACCTCTAAAACGTGAAGATATGCGAAAATTTTCATTTTCGATTTTTGGCCCATTACTATAACTTACCCTACGGGAAGTTAAAAAAAAATTATAACTAAGAATTAACCGAGAATTTTACTGAATATGTTGTTTTGTTTGTTTGATAGGGTTACATGTTATGATTTAGTTCATTTGCTTAATTTATTTACTGTATAATTACTGAAACTTAAATTGGCTCTTTGTGCTCAGCGCCCTATCCCATGTTAATATTTATTTATAAGTCCAAGTGCGAAATAATCAGCAACTTTAATACAGTTATGTTTCATGTGCGTAGTTCTATATGTCATGCTTTTATTATTAAAAGTAAATAAAGTATTCTGGTCATTGCTACAATATGCACAAATTTTACATCTCAGATATAAAAAATAAAACGTAATCGTGTAACATTGCAAATCGTCATGAATATAGAAGGTGAAGCTTGAAAAGAAAATGTTTTTTGTAAATTTCGCATTTTACTGACAATTGTTCCGTTCCAATTACGCGGTATTGCGAATACGATTGCGGTATTGGCTGTTTTTCCGCACCTAGGTGAAACAATTTAGATCGGCTCAAAATAAAACGAAATTTTCCCATCGGATTGCGAATGTCGAAGGCACAATGAGCGCTCACGAAACGGGACGATTTTATCGTTACGAAGCCGGAAATTTCGCGCAATTACGTTCATTTACGTCGATACACAATCTTTGTACGATAGATTGGCTAAAATTGTGGTATAATAGATTTTGATGATAAAATATCTAATTTCATTTCAATTATGAATAATGTAGTGTTCTTACATAATAATATTTACTAGGATATTTAATATTTTCGAAAAATAAGTAGAATTACGAAAAAAATCATAACCTTAAATGGAAATTTAAGCAAAATCATGAAAAAAATGTCGGTGGCTTAAAAAATGGTTGCCAAGCACAATAACGACCCCAACCACTGTGCAAAATCGCCAAAGAACGATCAAGAAGGCAGAAAGTTCAAGTTTTATAGTGGTCTGCATAGCTTCCAAACCTTAATCCAATACATATAATTGATAATTTTACTTTCGGAGGTCACTTTTGAACAATTTTGATTGTTCTTGTTTAATTGTCTCTTGTTTAATCGTAAAGAAGCAATTTACTTTTTATTTACTAATTTCTTATTTTTTACACCTTTGGAAGTGTAAAAGTTTAGTTGTTTTTTTTTTACTTCACGTGTAAGTATTTAGAGAGGTTATATGAAAAAACCGTTGAATCTAATTTAAAAGTAACAATACATATTATAAAATAATTGAATAGAGTATATCTAAAAATTATATTCATATATCATAATCTAAATAAATAAGTTCAAAACCAACAAAGAAAAAAAATATTGATACATTTTCCTTCGCCTTCTAATAGCTGATTATACATCTTCTGCCTCATACTTTAATATAGCATCATATAAAATTCTACACTTTACTTTACTTTTTATCGCAAGAATTAATGTAATCAATGGTTATATATGTGTTGTCTTCTACTTTGAAATAGTATCGTTGAAAAATTCCATACTTTACTTTAAATGTATTTGAACTACACTACATTAAACTAAAGTGGATTTTTTATTTTTTTATTTTACTATTTTCAATCATTTTAGTGCTGCTTTAAAATTTTAATTTGTTAATCAATTATAAATATTTATACATTACTGATGCATCATATCCAAAATAACGTTGTTCAACTAATTTTAATTGATTCTTTATGTTTCTAGGATCCAAAACTAAAGCAAATCGTAACTATGGGCTCTCAGGATACTCTTGAAGAAAAAACTGTTACTATTTGCTATGGAGCTGATTTTGTCAATTTGAACTTCGTAAATTTTTGTTGTACACGAAAAGATATTGCGCAGGTAAGATATTTTTTTTTTACTTATTGTTAGTTATAAAACATGCTCCTTTTTGAAGAAATGACTATTGTTCAAATTAAATTCTATTTATAGAAACCATAATTTTGTTTCAAATGAATTAGTTAAATATTACAATATACAAAATGTGTATTTGCGAAACGTTCAAACTATTCATGCAAATATTAATACATAGAGAGTATTTCAAACGCATTTTAGCGGAAATAAATCTGCTTCGAATATTATTCTACTTATTTAACTAGTTTTCATATCTATTATAATGTAGCATATTTTCACATTTCACGTTTTTATTCGATAATTTTCGATATAGTAGGTAAGTGGAAAATTTAATCAAAAATAAAATATTTTTATATCATGTTTCATCTATTTTGAAGTCATGATTCTATTTAAATAAAATTTGATTAAACGAACTTCAATATAAAAGGCAATTCAATGCAAAATCTGGGCGAAATTCTTATAAACTAATATAGAAGGAAATATTTAACTGAATATATAAATTATTTCAATCATTCTAAAAGATACTATAAAATTTTACATGTAAACAAATTAGCTAGTTAAAAAACTTATAAGCAATGAAGTTTTTACTAAAGCAAAAGTGTATGTATATACACACGACGACTTGTATAAATTGTTCAAAGGATACTATAGTTCAGACTATAATATGCAAATATTTGAAAATTATTTAAGTGCATTTTAGTGACAAGAAAAAAATCTGCTTTGAATATTTCTCTCTTCACTTAACTAGTTTTCATATCTATATTACATCTATAACAAGGTAGCATATTTTCTTTTACATTTTTATCATTCAAAGTTCATTTTTATTATTTACCTACTTTATTTAATTATATTTGATATAGTAAGTACGTTTTCATCAAATATAAAGTGTTTTTGCGAATGATTCAATTTGAAGAGCTACGCTATAGAACTACAAAATGTGCTACGTTTTGCATATTTCGACGACAATATTTTTGAAATATAGGTGGATAATGACTGAATTTTCAAAAAATAGTTAGGTTTATGTAGAAAAATTAGAACTGTTGTTTTTATTAGTTTGTCCTCTCTGATTGTATGACTGGATTGTCTCTATTCTATTTGGCAACTTTTATAAATTCCAAATTAATGGAACACAACCACAACAATAACTAGTAGATAAAATTATTGAATTGTGTGAAACATTCTTTTAACTTTCCAAGAACTGTAAATTATTTTATTCATTCTAAAAGATGCCATAAAAATTTGTATGCAAGCAAATTAGCGAGTCTGGGAAACTTCTAAGCCATTAAGTTTTACGTCTGTCTACTCGTTTATCTATCAGCTATTTTAGCAACTGTTCATAAAAACAGGTCAACCGTAAGAATTGCAATGAGCACTCTGACTTGGGATTTTATTCGTCTGCGCGCAAATAAAAAATATGCTGGATGAGCTAACTTTAAAATTATCACGTTTTACTCAATTTCTTTAAACAAATAATCTCAGCTTTAGTTTTATTAATAAGTAAAACTAAACAAAAATATTGCTTTTTGTGTCTTGGACACAGTTATTTCATTCTTGGTAAAAATGTGGTTTAGCAACCACTGGTTCTGGTTTTGTTATTTCACCTGAGCCAGCTTTCAGTAAGCAATAGTGACAACAGTTTTTCATCTGAGCTAATATATCTAAAAAAAGTATTACTCATGAAAATTACCTCATGAGGGCTTTATTGCATGAATAAAAAATGTTAAAAATAATAGTATAGTAAAAGTATGTTATATCTAGAAATGACACCTTCTGAGATGCCTGCTAACAGCCATCTGTGTTGCAAAACATTAAATTAATGCCTTTATTATAACTAATGTATAATTGTTTAATTTGATATCGATAAAATATATTTTGTTCTTCAATCAATAAACATTTTTTTAAGAAGTAGGGTAGACTGGGTATAGCTGTGCTAGGGTACGGTAGTGGCAGTCGTCATAACAGCATAACGATACTGATTTTGAGGAAAAGTCCAAGGGGAGAAAGATGTAGTATGTTTGTCTAAACAAGTTTCCATTATAGCTGATTATTAAATTCTATAATATTCGTTCACACAGTGGATTATGTTAAACAACGCCTAAACAAATATTGTTTTCGCCACTTTACTCATCATGTAATTGTGTTTAAAGAACTTCATGTAATTAAAATTAACATACATTCATTGACTGTTTGTATTTTTTTTACTCTTTCGCTGGCGATATAATCTCATTCTTTGAACAGCTGTAATATCTGTCTTGCATAAAAAATATTTTCCATTTTATTAACTTAAAAAATGTATAGAAACTACAAATAATATAGAAATAATTTCTAATCAACAAACTTATGTTCAGTACATGGCCCAAATGTTTAATTTGTTTTATTATTTTTAATGAACAGGATAAAATATTCTTCTGATTCAAGCATTTTTCATTAAATTGTGGGGATCAAGCAGGCTAGTGATTGTAGAGAAAACAATTGGACTTGTCATATATTTTCATATGAGTAATATTTTATAATGAATAAAATTTATATATTTTTATACGATGGGAGTTTATACTTTATATATATTACTACCCCCACAAAATCAAGATTTGTACTACGATGTAACTTTAAAATGTTATTAAAATTTATCTATACCGATTTCCTTGTTGGCGCTTTACGTTAACATGATCTGTTGATCGCATTGGTCAGAGTCAAAAGTAAATTTCTTCGTTCGATTTCTTTTAATAATTACAGTTACTTCTTTACAGGTAGTTTACTTCGTTTTTTGCTATAAGTTGAACATTAGTAGTTAATTACCAGCAATTAGTTTTTGCGTGGATAATTCAGTTCAATCATAACGATGATTTGTCTCCAAAAGTGTGCGTTGGGTATAGTTGTGACAAGTTTTTCTTTTTTATATATTAACTATAGTAGATACACCACTGGGCGTATGTGCTAATTTGTAAACAACCAATTGTAAACAATTGTCAGCATTCTCTGCTAAATATAATTATTTTTATAGATTGCAGAATAAAAATAAAATAAAAATAAAAATAAAAGTTTTGTGGGTACAGTTGTGACATGTATTCCTTGTCCTTTTTGAGTGAAAATAAAAAAAATTAACTTAACTAAGACAAAAATGCGAAAGAGCATGGGACATGAAAATTTAACCCTTTCCATTCGCGAATTAAGGAAATGGTTAATAGAAGAAAAAAAGGTCTTACAAAGGCTTTTTATTAACTTTATTTGAAAAAAATATGTTTTGTTATATATTGTTATAATTCATTCATAAGCTTTGTTTAAAGATCATGTTGTTTTGTTACATATTTCTGACATCAAAGTTATTCTGACAACTAAATTTATTTTACTATTTTATAACCTACTATTTACCTACTATTCAATAACCTATTTTTATGCCAGTCACAACAGTTCCTGGGGGGTGTGGACGGTTATGACTGTGTGTTACTCATAGTCTGTGCTTCAATTTAGTCGTATAAACAAAATTTATTCCATGCAGCAAATAAACAATAACAAATAATATACGAGCAACTCGTATATGAGCACATATAAAATACATCACGATGAAAAGCCTCTCGTTTGTTCTTTATTATGTATCTGCAATCAGATATTTTATTTCCGTACGTGCAGATGCGCTTCATTCACGAGTTCATATAAATTCCGACAAATAACCCCTTTGTGGCGCGCACTTACGTGGTATGTGTGTCTTGCAATTCATATTACACGAAAGTTTATTTCCCTTTCTGAATACATAAAACTTGTGGAGGTCAACAAAAGGCACTTGTTGAACTGCCAAATGCCAAACGTTTGTTATTTTTATTTTCACAGGTGTTTTCCCGCTTTTGCGAATTCTCGAAGATATTTTATTGATGACCAAGCGATTTGTTGAGATTCATTTTCCATTGCATGTTTACATTCGAAGTGGATTTTGTTTGGAGCAAGAATGAGATATTTTATGCATTTCATATTTTATTTGTTTTTTGGAAATTAGTTCTCGGAACTTTGCACCAGACATAAAGATTTCATGTGAATTCCACATGAGAAAGTTTTATTTACTCTTTACGCATTATGATGATAGTACATTTTATAGAGAATAGTGTGGACGTCCAATTTCATAAATCGGTTTTTATGTAAAGTATTCATATTCTTAAATATAAAAATGGAGCTCGGTAATATGTAAGATTTCTAAAACTAAAAAACGAGTGAACTGATTTGACCAGTTTAGTCTTGAAATATTTGTGCTAATACAGAGATTGTGCAAAAGGTGAGAAATTGTTTCAAAACTGCGTAGAAACTTCACATTTTTAATTTAATTTTCGGCGGCTCTTACGTCAAATGTCAAATGGTTTTGACAGATTATGTTGGAAAAAAATGTAACAGGATGTTATAAATGAATATTATTTAATTTTAATATCTAGATTATACGCGAATACTTTATTAAATCGTAAATGTTATAAGGAATTCAATATATCACCTTTTTCAAATGCTAATATGAAAATAATCTTTTTGGCTTTGACACATTTTTGCAAATCATATTTTTTCAGTCTGTACTAGGCAAAAACTCATTTGTGTAATTGTTAACGTTATTTAATTGTTTTATAAGATCTTAAAAAAAATAAATAAGACACATTTAAAAATTATATCAAGGTCTCATAGACTAAAAATAGTGCTCACAACCAAAAAAACTAACATCGACAGAAATACTTTTGTTATAAATTTACAAACATGTCGGTTTATATCCTGATAGAAACGATCTTGATTGAAGGCAATGGCTGATAATACATCTTTTTCTCTCTACTTTCAAATATTGTTGCTAAAAATTTCTAAACTTATTTTCGAGATATTGGTGATGGATCTTTTTACTCACGGACCTTTATGCCCCCCTTTATCGTATATTAAAATGCAACAATATTGATTTTCGGTTTATTGCAATTTCAATGACTTACGTTATCGAAAATGAATAATAGAAACGTGGACTTGCAAAAACTTAC